CAGAGTTCCAGTTCCAGTCCTGCTTACACTGCTCCCAATCCATCTTCCAACTAATGTGTCTAAGAAGGCAATGGATGATGGTCCAAGTACTTGGGCCCTAGTGACCCCATGTGAGAGACTCAGATGGCACCCCTGTTTCCCTGCTAAAGCCTGACCTACCCCATGCTACTTTAGTTATCCGGGGAGTGAACAAGTAGATAGAAGATCTTTTTGTGAATCTCTCCCCCTCTCTGTCTGCTGCTCTGCCTTTCAAATAAACATTGACAACAGCATCCCATATGGGTGCCTGTTCATGTTCTAGTCGCTCCACCTCCAATCCAGCTCCCTGCTAATGGCCTGGGAAAAGCAGAATACAGCCCAAGTATTTGGGTCAGTAGCCACCCACATGGGAGACCTGGAAGAAGATCCTGGCTCCTGACTCTGACTGGCAAAGCTTTGGCCTTTGCAGCCATCTGGGAGTGAACCAGCAGATGGAAGATCTCTCTCTTCCACTATGTAACTCTTTCAAATAAATAAATAAATCTTTTTAGAAACTAAATATAGGTCTATTAGATTATCCAGTTATTCTATTTCTTGAAGAAAATGAAATCAATGTATAAAACAGAAAGCAGAATCCCCATGTTTACTGCAGCAATATTCATGGTGACAAACAAACAGAGTCAACCTATATTTCCATCAGTGGATGAATGCATAAAGCAAATGTGGCACACATACAAAGTGTGATTTACTCAGTCATAAAAAGATGAAGTCTTGACATTTACAACAAAATGGATAGAATTGGAGAACATAGTAACTGAGATAAAAAAGACATGGAAAGACCAATACCACATTTTTTTTTCTCTCAAGTATAAGTTAAAATACAGATAAGGCAAAAAGTGTATGGATGCCATATTACTTGGTATATGTTTATTTATCAATGTTGTGTTCACTGAATTGTATCACTTACAAACTAATAGGCCCTTCTTTCCTCATTTTGTAATTGTTAACATGAATCCCACATTATGTGATATTAACACATCAACCCCTGCTTAAAAATAACTGTTGGGGACCGCACAACATGTGGCCTCTTAGTGGAAAACTACTGAAGTAGAGCTAAGCAGCCTGGGCCGGAAAGTACTGATAATGCCACCATGTGTCTTAAGACTTTATGACCATTCCCCTACCTGCACAAGCATTGCAGCTGCAAGATAACCTTGTGACCTTCCTCTGCTTGCACAAGCATTGCAACTGCAAGGTAAACTCCCCTCCTTCCCCCGCCTGACACCCTGCCTTCACGATATATAAGTGTGTGGTTAAAAAAAATAAAATCGCAGCTTGATCAGCCATCTTGTCTTGCTGCCATCTTTGTGTCTCCTGTCCCTTTCATTTCTCCTTCTAGGTGCTCGGCCCCAGTTGCTGTCCCGCAGGACGGGACAAATAACATGTATTTTATATGTGAAATCAATATGCAAAATGTTCAAAATTGTCAAATCTATGTATGCTCACTGAACTCTATTTCATACTTCACTGTATTACTTAAAATATTTTCAAGTAAAAAGGTAATATACAATAAATCACAATATAATTATAGTTTCTGTGAGGAAGTGAAAATCAAATGGCTATATCAAAAAGAATTACAATATGTATTTACATTAGAGTAGAGAAAGATTGTGCACTACTAGAGTTGAATTAGAGGTATCATCTGTGAAACAAATTTACATTTTTACAATCTAACTCATGTTAATTCTGAGTATGCAAGGAATTAATGTAATTAAAACATTTAGAGCATTGCCTGCCACAGAATTAAGCATTCAGTAAACATGAACGATTAATGTGAATTTGAGACCTTTAAATATTTTTAATCTCTTTCACTAATCCGCTTTATCAACAATGTTATCCTGCCCCAAGGATCTGATATGCACCTCTGTCACCTACATTTAATTCTCTAACATTATGGTCATTAAAAGTAACTGAATCTATGCACAGTTGTGGGGAGTAGGTGGTAGGGGATCCACATGTTATCAGTGGAAAGATAAGATATTTATGGTATATTTCTAGTTAATAAGAGAACGAAAAAGCTTGCATTAACTTTTCAACTTTTCAATGGCCAAAGTTGATAATTTATATATGCATATGAGTAAACTGACTATACAAAAAATCATACAACCATAAAGATATTAAAATTTAGGAAGTTTAGTATTTATATACATATTTAAGTATATGAAAAATAAACATGATTCTAATATGATATATTAAAGTTGTATTATCATTACTGCCTCCTTGGCGCAATAATGGGAATCTGGCCAGAGCCATGGCTCACTTGGCTAATCCTCCGCCTGCGGCACCGGCATCCCAGGTTCTAGTCCCAGTTGGGGCTCCGGATTCTGTCCCGGTTGCCCCTCTTCCAGGCCAGCTCTCCGCTGTGGCCCGGGAAGGCAGTGGAGGATGGCCCAAGTGCTTGGGCCCTGCTCCTGCATGGGAGACCAGGAGGAAGCACCTGGCTCCTGGCTTCATATCAGCACAGCACGCTGGCCGCAGCGTGCCAGCCGTAGCAGCCATTTGGGAGGTTGTGAGCCAACGGAAAAGGAGGACCTTTCTCTCTGTCTCTCTCTCACTATCTAACTCTGCCTGTCCAAAAATAAATAAATAAATAAATAAATAAATAAATAAATAAATAAAATGATAGGAATCTGGATCAGAAGTGCGGAGTAGGACTTGAACTAGGCAGGCCAATATGGAATGTGAGAATCCCAAAGAATGGTTTAATCCACTGAGCTACAACACTTGATACAGGTTCAAGTTTCTAAATCTCACTTACCCATTCACGTCCTTTTTGAAGACCCTTTTCTTTTTTCTCCCTAACTTTTTACCTCATTTCTTCCCCTAATTCCCATACTACCTGGATTCCCAGAATCTCACAACATCCATACTCCTACCCAGATGTAATAAAGTGTATTTCTGATCAAATATAACTCTCTCTACTATAACCCAGTTATATTTTCCCCCCAAAGATCAAAGGTGGAAAAACAGTGGAGTTAGACCTGAAGTATAAACACAGTGGCCTCTAGGCTTTGAAGCAATTCCAAGACAGAAGAGGCCCTCTCTACCTAAGAAACTGAGTATTTGCCTCAACCAGATTCCTTTTGGGATCCTGTGCCTATCTTCCTTACCGACTGAGTTGGGTGGTTTGTGAAGGCAGAAGGGCACAGTCAGAAGATTCTGTCAAGGAATCCATATGACTGCTTAAAATGCTGAAGTTAGAAATAAACAACATTGCTCTAACCAAGTTGAGCACAGCCTTATGCTGTACAGGTAAGATAGATTAGACTGTTTCTCATGGTTTCTCAATGAAGTGTACATGCTAGTACCAAACTGCTCCCTTCAGATCAGGATGAGCATTGATGAGTGACTGGGCTTGACTGCCACTGGTCTTTGCAGGAAGGCGCAATCATGTGGACAACTGGCATCTCCCAAAATGGATTACTGCACTAAAGCATTCAGAAAAAAAAAAAAAAAAAAAACTTGGTACAATTTTCTCCTATTAGGGGAAATAAATACCATACAGGCTATTGCTAACTGGTGTACTTGTGTCAGACATTATAGATAAAGATATAAGTTTATGTATTTGTATATATGTTCCCTGGACTTGCTATAGCTGTCATGAAAAGACCGCTCTATTGAATACAGGAGCCATTTGTTTATTAAGTTACTTTGTTAAAGCACATACTTGAAAGTATTAGTTTCTGTGATAAGTCATGTAATATTTTACACAATAAAAGTGGTGTATTTAGTATGTTATGTTGATGTTTATAAACATACTCATATGAAATCCTGAGACAAATATTTTAAAAGATAATATTTAGATTTTTTAGGATCTAGCTTAATGTTTTCCAAATTAAATTCATTATAAATCCTTTTTCATTTCTCTTTCTCCTTCACACTTCTATAATAGTGAGCCTGGATTCTGGGTTAATTATAAGTGATACATGAGAAAGATTATATAGAGGAAAATCAATTATTACATTCTTGAGGGAATTTTTTAAAATGAAAACAATTTCATGACAGCTTATGCTGTCAACAAAGTTACATGTATTAAAGCAAATATTCCTGAGCTTTCTATTGTGTAGAAATTATAATCCACAAGAATTTATATTCAAGTAAGATTATTTACTAAGGAATAGTATTGAAGTTTTTCATCTGGTAGCCTTGCCTCAATTTGGTGTAAACCTTCATCATTATGAAATTCCAGAGATCTTAAGAAGTCAATATATTCAGTTAATGAGATACACAATCTGCTTTAGAAAATGTTTATATTCCAGTCTCTATATAGTCATGTATCTCTTAATGATGGAAATACATATTAGGAACTATGTCATTGGTAATTTTGTTGTGCAAACAGCATGGGATGTACTTATACAAACTAATATAGTTATGACATCACTAATTTTGGGAATTCCAAAGTTAGTGTGTATGTCATCTGTGAGTTCATAGATTTAAATGTAACTATGTGGGGCATGAATATATGATATATTTTCCAACAAAAAATTGGAATTCCTGGGAACTACAGTCACAATCTGAAATTTTAGTATTTCAGGACATTGCTTTAGTTAACTAAGAACAGGTACAATATTTAGAACATATTCTGAATATATTCTGAAGAATCTATAACAAAGAGTAACTATTATAGGCAGCAAATAAAGGCATAAAAATAGATATTTTTCAAAAGCAGACAGAGAATGAGATTTCAAAAGATATTTGAATTCCAATACTTTATCTACACTCATGAGTAGAGTTTAACTTCCCATACTAGTATGCCAGATATTATTTTATGGGAGGAAAAAATCCCTTCAAGCAATTTCAAAATCTCCTACGAATGAATAGATGGCTTGCATAGCTCTCCTCCTTATCATGATTTTACTCTTACTTTTTGAGATTTTAAGCTTTTCCTAACTAAATTTCAAAGTACAATTATAACACTGTATGCATATATATGGAAAAAAATCATGTATTCATTTACTTACAGGCAAACTGAAGTATGGCTTCTCTACTAAGAATACTTCCGAAAGTGTTGGTTGCTAAACATTGATAATGACCAGCATCCTTTGCTTCACTTGGGTTGCTTATGATGAAAGTACCTTCTATCAAACTATAGCGATAATCACTCTCCAAATCTATTTCTGTTCCATTTCGAAGCCATCTGAGGAAAAAAGTCAGAAGACAAATATGTAAAAATTACTTGACATTACAAAATTCCATGCATGTGTCAGAATCTCATTAATGGAAATTATCTTAGAGCTTAAGAAAAATGACAGTGAATTTCTACCTGTAACTGGGAACTGGGTTGCCACGACTTTCACAATTCAATGCCACCTTCTTTTCATCAGAATCAGTTGGGAAAATGATATCATCTGGTTCTTGCACAAACACTGGCCCATAGTCCACACTTTCTGTAAGGGTCAAAAAGGATATATTTAAGCATTTCTCAAAATATTTGGTTTTTGGCTGTTTTCAGTTTTGGCTTTATTCCTTCACTATATTCTTAATTTAAATTATTGCACTTTCTTTGTAATCAGCAAACAATTTTCCAAATGAAGATGTAGCTAGGAAATTGCATTGTTTAACTAAGTTTTAGGGACCTACACAGAAGTTTTTTATTAATTAAGAGTGTTTGTAAACATGTGATATATATCAACAGAAAAACAAACATCCCAAACAGTAAGTATATATTTTATATCTTTATTTCATCTTCTAAAGCATAAATAAGGAAAATAATACTACACATATACTTTTTTTTTGACAGGCAGAGTGGACAGTGAGAGAGAGAGACAGAGAGAAAGGTCTTCCTTTTTTCTGTTGGTTCACCCCCCAATGGCCGCTGCTGCTGGCGCACTGCGCTGATCCAAAGCCAGGAGCCAGGGGCTTCTCCTGGTCTCCCATGCAGGTGCAGGGCCCAAGCACTTGGGCCATCCTCCACTGCCCTCCCGGGCCACATCAGAGAGCTGGCCTGGAAGAGGGGCAACTGGGACAGAATCCGGTGCGCCGATCGGGACTACAACCCTGTGTGCCGGTGCCGCAGGTGGAGGATTAGCCTAGTGAGTTGCAGCGCCGGCCTACACATATACAATTTTAATAATTTTTGTAAAACTATTAAAATGCTTAAAATAATATATAATAAAGAAAAATGATGTGTTAATACTGTCTAACTGCTTGACAGCTACAGATATGGAAATGTTGATCCTTAGTTGTTCCTTTCTTCACACATTTCACTCAAGCACTATTTCTTCAGTGTTAACAATGTTGAGTATTAAAAAAGAAATAATGTAGGATCAGCTCTGGTGTGGTAGGCTAAGCCTCCGCTTGTGGTACTATCATCCTATATGGACTCCGGTTTGTGACCCAGCTGCTCCTCTTCTGATCCAGCTCTCTACTAATGGTCTAGGAAAGCAGTGGAACTTGGCCCAAGTGCTTGGGCCACTGCACCCACTTGGGAGAGCAAGAAGCAGCTCTGGGCTACTGGCTACAGATCGGCCCAGCTCCGGCCATTGTGGCCAGTTGGGGAGTGAACTAGTAGATGGAAGATCTCTGTCTCTCCTTCTCTCTGTAACTCTGCCTCTCAAATAAAAGTTTTTTAAAAAAGAAATTTTGATTTTCAAACAAATACATTTCTATAGTGTAGATACATCCTCAAAAAATCAAATAATTGAATTAAAATGTCAAAACTCTATGCATTGCATTTAGTCACTATGTAAATATAGTAAATAAGGAGATCAAAATACACAAGGCATTAAAAGGGTAGACAAGTGGGAAGAGAACTAAAACTTACCACCTATTCTATGCCAGATAGTAGATTCTATTTTATCTAGTTTGTTTATACTCAGAAAACTCCTATGACAATGATAATTTGAAACTAATAAAGTCATGGGAAAAGTGGGAATAAAAATGGACCTCAAAAGTCAGCATGGAATTGAGTTTTGGAGTTAGACCTGAAAAATGATTCGCATATATGCTTGTGGGGTATACAGTAGCCTGCAAGTGTATAAGAATTTATACATCCTGAATAAATTTTGAATTGGGAAAAAAGTAAAATTTTTGACTGATTTGTTTTATCATGAATATCATTACATAATGGCCTTAAATCAAGGTTTCTCAACCTCTACACAAGTGACTTTTTGATACTGGTGTTCTTTGCTATGAGGGGCTGTTCCATATAACATCAGTTGGAAGATGTTTTAACAGCAGCCCTGGACCCTGCTCATTAGATTCTAGTATCACCTTTCTCTAATGTGTAAGAATCAAAATAGTCTTGAGCACTGTTGAATGTTCCCTAGGATCAAAATGACCTGCAAATCACTGACTTTCCTAACTGCAGATTTGTATTTCAGGAAGACCTATTTTCAGTATTTGTGTTAAATAGTTAGAGGTTTACATCCCCACAGAATAACCATAAAAGAATATCAAGAAGTATCAGGGACAATGTTCCAGAAACACATATTACTGGAACATATGTAGACCCCATAATTAGAAAAATGGGTTCAGAGTAAATTGACTTGGTTTCTGTAAGTGTATTCAAAGTCCCTTAACTCAAGCAAAGAAAAACAAAAGTGGTCATAGTATTCTAAACATTTACCAAATAAAATTTGAGCACTCAGAGTAGGCATACACTGACAATATTTTCTGAGCTCTGCTAAACTAGCTGAAATGTTTTATGCTACAAGAAACTGTAACATCAAAATAACCAAAATGTGGTTCTCTTAAACCAAATTATTTCACTTTCACTTAACAAGAAAAAGGAAAACAAATTATTTGATAAATAGAGGAAATCGTTTTTAAAATTTTGTATTTGTTGTTGCATAATAAATTTATAAATATTTAGAACATATAAAACCTTATGAAACAGAATTGCACACTCCAGTAGTGAAAAAATAATTATTCCTGGCTTGAGGCATAAAATATGATCATTTAAATTAATGTATAAAATTAACATGTGATAAGTACATTTTATATCTTTCTATAACAAAAAACTCTTGAATTTACAATCAGACACACATAAGTTTAATTCTACTGCTATCATTTTATAGTCATGAGTCAAAAACTTTAATAGTCTGCTATTAATTTATTAATTATAGACAATTCCCCTTACATTACATTATAAATGACAATATTAATAATTATAAATGCATTTATATCAAAAGAACTAAATAATAGCTAACGTCTAATAACTAACATTTATTTATGCCATAATTACTAAATATTAGACATCATGCTCAGTATTTTCATGCACAATATTATGTGATACAAAAACCACTGGCAAAAATTATTCCTCCATTTTAGAGATGAAAAATACTAAGGCTTAAAACCAAAAACTGAATCTGTAATGGCACACCTGGGATACAGATCCAGAGCAGATGCATTCTAGAACTCGACTATGGTCATGGCTATGAGTACAAATATTTCTTCACCTTTTCTTTGCCTTCTCGTCTGCTTATCTTTCTTCTCTTTCTCTTTCCCCTCCTCTGCTCCTTTACATTCTTTCCTCTTCCTCCTCAACCTGCCTCATTGCTTCTCTCTCACCCTTCCTTTTATCCTCTCCTTTTCCTTTTTTCTTATGCTGTAACCACTATATTAATATCCCAATATCCATAAAGCATGCCCATATAGATAACTAGATAAATAAGTCTCAATTTCTTGCATTGCAAGCATTGTGTTCTGAAAATTGTCGAAACAAGCTAAGAGAAAGTACAGTTTCTCTCTTGGGTCCCTCCCTCAAAGGGAAGACAGCTGTCACATCCTGAGGACTCTTTTTCCGGCTGTGGAAAGGCTCAAGAGATGATGAACTGAAATCTCTAGCCTGATCAAAAGCAGCAATAATCCGAAGCCTAAAAAAACCACAGGAAAGAGTTTATCCTTCCCTTGCTCCAGCTGTCAAATGAAAATAACCATGAAATCGAAAGCTTGATTGGAAGACGAGACACAGTTACTCAGCTCAGCCACTCCCAGATACCAGAGCCACAGAATCTGTGGGAAACAACCACTTATACACTTCCTACATGACTTGGAAGGAAATGTATTTAAGAAACCTAGTGTTATGAAATCTGTGTACTTTTCAGGAAAAATAATGGATCGTAAAAGTGCCATCTACAAAGAATGATACTTGAGAAAATGTAAATGTTTAAGTTCCATTGTAATCCTGTCAAAAAATCATAAACTTGCAAGGATCATCTTCCATCTATTTTAAACATCTTTTCTGTACAAGAGTTTCCAGGCTTAGCTAGATCACTTCTAGTAATCCATGAGGTCATTATAAATTATTATTGGGATTACATTAATTTTTTTCTTAAAATAAAGCTATGCCTTAAATGAAGACATATTCTCACCCCATTCTAGTACATAATAAATCAATTTTACTCAAAATTTTTTGATAATTAAGTTGACTTGCCCAGCAACAATAACTTTAATGTACTGAAATTGACATTGATATTATAATTTGCAAGCTCTACTAAGAATATCTTATGTTCCAGTGAAAGAATAGTATGGAGAACAAGGAATTCCCACAGGAATTCTTAAACGTTCAAATCTACTAATACACAACTGTTTCTCTGTAATCAATATAATTAGCCTCCAACAATTTTAGCCAAAAATGATCAATAAATGAAGTGCATCATAAAAGTCTAATTAAATTTGTTATCAACATGACAAGCTAAAGTGAAACTTTCATGTTTTCAGAGCACAAAGTTATACAGGTTTTCATTACTCTTGTGTCATAGGGACAGGAAAAATGCTCATTAATCCCATTTTCTCTTCCTGGGCACACTGGAACACTTCCTTGGCCCTTCTAAAGGTTGGCCTGGAATGAAACAACTTGGTTCTGAACTGAAATAATGTATATTAAATCCAGGACTAGTTACAAAATGTCATGCATGATTTTCCACTCTCCTTGTTTTCATTTGTGAACTGGCTGAAGAAAGGAGAAGATGCCAAGAAAACCTTATTAAGGTTAAAGAAAAACAAAATAATAAATGAACTGAACCTGGGTCTCAACACTTCACATGAAAGACAACTCATTGTAAAACTGAGAAAAATGTAAGGTGGTTAGGAATCATGTTATTGTGTTGAAGAACAGCTTTTGGGGCTGGCATTGTGGAATAGCAGGTAAAACTGCCACCTGTGAAGCAAGCATCCTGTATGGGCGCTTGTTCAAATACTGGCTCCCCACTTCAGATTCAGCTCCCTGCTGATACCTAGAAAAAAACAGCAGAAGATTGCCCAAGTGCTTGAGCCTCTGCCACTCTCACAGAAGACTCAGATGACGCTCCTGGCTTCAACTTTGTCTAGCCTGGGCTATCTTGGACATCTGGCCAGTGAACCAGCAGATGGATGATCTCTCTCCCTGTCTTTCCCTCTTCCCTTCTGTAACTCTGACTTTCAAATAAGTAAATAAATAAGTCTT